ACCCGCACCTCGCTCAGCCAGTGAGCGGGAACCGGTCTGTATGTGGGATCCGAACCCTCGGCAGGAGCGCCGCCGCGCTCCCAAGCGGCGTACTGTAGCAGTGTGCCACCGGGCCGGCCCAACCTGGGGCCCTTCTTGCTGCAGCTTAGTGGTCATTGCTGGGCTGGCTGCTCGTGTTGGGGGGGCTGTGGCTGAGGCCCTCAGCCCCCACCCTTGCAACTGGTTGTGGGTGTTGGGGGGCATGGCTGAAGCACCTGGCCCTCCACCCTTTCTGATTTGGTAGCCCAGGGGACTTCCAGTCCTTCAAGGTGTTATAGGTGTTCATTGGTGAAATGAGATCTTTACTAGTTAATATCAAACTTTGTGGTTGTGGGTGGGTACTTTGTTCTTTCTTTCAGTTCTCTGTTGGATTATTTGCTGTTCCCACCACTCAAACTCTGCACTCGAACTAATTTGCTGTCCTTTGCTTACTTCTAAAATGGGAGAACTTCCTGTGAGGACCAGCACTTGAGCCCTGTGGTTTAACTAAATTGCTGCTTTGCTGCTGTTTCCCTGGGGAAGGCTTTTTGTGCAGCTCAGATTTTAATGGTTCACTTTGTAGGTACTTCTGGTTCTAGTGAAATCTGATACACCTGGATTGTGTGGAAACTCTGGTCTGGGCCTGAGTCTTTTCATCAAACTGCACCCCCTGCAGTTCTGTATTCCTGACCAGTCTCCACTGAGTGGTCCTATGCTGATCAGGGAATAGATCAGCTGTCCTTGCTATGCCCCTATTCCCCCAGTGGGCCCATCTCCCCCACTGCCCATGCTCCAAACACTTCCCATGGGATAGGCCATTCTCCGATCCCTTGCGATGACCCACTGGCCTCGGAATGGCTCCTTTTTTTCAGCTGTTGTGACTCCTCAGTCATATGTGAGTCCACAGGAACCCAGTTAGTGGTCTTGCTGGCCTCTGGGCTACCAAGGCACTCTTCTCCCCTGCCACCTCCAAGCAAGTTCATCTGAAGGGCACAGCTATGGCTCCATGCGCTCAGCAGTTCCAGCCTGGAAACAGCTGAGATTCAAAACGTCAGAGGGGTTTTTTCTTTCTCTCATCATGGCTTCTCCCACCTTCCTGAACTCCGTGGAGAAGAGGGCCTTGGTGACCCCCAGGACAGCAAGACCACTAATAGTGTTCCCGTGAATCCACACAGGAGCAAGGAGTCAGAACAGCTGAAAAAGGGGAGCCATTCAGAGGCCAGTGAGTCATCGCAAGGGACCATCCATCACAGGGCCCATGCTATGGGAAGTGTTTGGAGCATGGGCAGTGGGGGAGATGGGCCCACTGGGAGAACACCAGGACACAGCAAAGACAGCCGATCTGCCCCCCAATCAACGCAGGGCCACTCAGAGGAGACTGGTTGGGAATGCAAAATTGCATGAGGTGCAGTTTGATGAAAAAACTCAGGCTCAGATCAGAATTTCTACACAGCCCAGGGGTACCAGGTCTCTGGAGAGCTGGAAGTACCTATAAGGTCAACCATTAAACACTGAGCTGCACAAAAAGCCTTCCTTAGGGAAACAGTAGCAAAGCAGCAATTTAGCTCAACAACTCAGCTCAAGTACTGGTTCCCACAGGAAGTTCCCCCGTTTTAGAAGTAAGCAAAGGACAAAAAATTAGTTCCAGCCCAGGCACACCACGAGCGCCTCGAGGCCTGCCAAGGGACCTGAGGTATGGAGCTGAGGACTGGACCACCTGCCCACAACCACACACATCGCCAGTGCCTTGGGGCCTGCCTGGGGGCCCAGGGCTTGGAGCCAGGGGACCGGACCCTCCACCCACCCACATCCAGGTACACCACCAGCACCAAAGAGCATGCCAAAAACATCACCTCCATGTGGGTGGCCCACCATAGCCACCACAGTAACTACAGCTGCTGCAAAAGTGGCTAGACATCACAACCATCACACAGATGATCCACCAGCCACTGGAGTGCATTGACACAAGGAGACTCAACAGCACAGACCAAAGAAAAGAATAGGATGTCTCTCTCCACAAAGCCCATTCCAGAGTGACAGAAGAAGCATTTGCTCTATTATAAATATTGGGCGACCTGAACACACCTCTCAGCTTTGGACAGATCATCTAGGTAACAAATCGACAGAGTAACCATTACTCTTTCAGAGGGAGAGAAGAAATCTAGGGTTATGAGTGGTGGGAAGAGGGAGGAAGAGGGGTTAGGGAGAGATTGGACAAGAGGCATAAAGAATAAGTACAATTTGTAACAATATACATACTAGTAATACTGATTTGATCAACATATGTCAGCACTGAATCCCAAAAGTGTGCATAATCAATTATGATTCAATAAAAAATAAATAAAATAAAGAAATCTACTTGTGAATTAACTAAAAAACATTATGTTTAAAAACAATCAATTACTGTTCTTCCCCCAATATGTCTTTTATACAAACCTTAATTTGTATATCTTTAATTTGCCATTCAAGAAAATTTTATATATTAAAAGATATTATGTTTTACTTAATTTTGCTCAGTTTATCAAAGTTATTAGTAAGGCATCAGTTTTAAAATAGTGTAGAAAATAATATTTTTATAAGAAATCTGTGACCCTGATGGGTACCATTTTCTTCTGGTTGTGACTGATGCTTTGTCAAATTAAGGGCTGAACTACAGGCAGCCATCATGAAGAAGGAGAAATCAAATGTGAAGTGAAGGTTTAGTATAGTTAGTTCAACAATGTGCACCGA